AATCCCACTTGTTGGTATTTATCCTAGAGAAACAGAGAACTTATGTTCACATGAAAACCTACAAATCAATGTTTAGAGTGGTATTATTCATAATTTCCAAAACTGGAGGAAATGCTAAAGTCCTTCAACAAAAGAATAAATAAACAAACTGCAAAATATCCATATAATAGCATACCACTCAGCAAATAAAAAAGAGAAAACGAAATCATTGATCTACACAACTACATGGATTTCAAACATATTATGCTAAGTAAAAGAAGCTAGACTCAAAAGCTCACATAGTATATAATGTCGTTTATATGACCTTCTGGAAAAGGAAAACTGTAGGGATAGAGAACAGATCAGTGGTTGCCCAGTGTAGTAGTTAATTTTATGTGTCAACTTAACTGGGTCACGGGGTACCCAGATATTTGGCTAAACATTATGTACAGGTTTGTCTGTCAGAGTATTTCCAGTGAGATTAGCAGGCAGCTCTCCCCAAAGTGGGTGGGCATCATCTGGGGCCCATTAACACCCTGAGCAGAGCAAAAGGAAGAGGAATGGAAAATTTGTTCCTTCTCTACCTGACTGCTGAGCTGGTACATCGTTCTTCTCCTGTACTTGGACTGGATTTACACAATCAGCTTCACCGATGACCTTCCAACTCAGACTGAATTACACCACCGGTTTTCTAGGGTGTCCAACTTGCAGACTGCACATTGTAGGACTTTTCAGCCTCCATAATTGAGTGCACCAATTCCTTAAATAAATAAACAAACAAATCAATCGATAAAAAATCCTGTTGGTTCTGTTTTTCTGGAGAACCCTTACTAACACAGATTTTGGTACCGAGTGGGCTGCTGTTGTAACTAACAAAGACCTGCAAATGTGGAAGCAGCTCTAGAACGGGATAAAGGAAGAGGCTGGAAGAGTTTTAGTGTCAATTGCCACAAAGGAACTTTTAGAGATGATTCTGGTGTGGACTTATAAAGAAAAGAGGAGAGCTGAAGACAACCACGGACCTGTTAAAGATACTCAGCTCTCAACAAATGAGCCAAACCTTCCTTGCTCTCTTCTATGAAATGCCCACGTGCAGAGGGTATCCAGCCACTTCTATCACCCTCAATATTGTGTTACTTCTTTCCAGTCCTCTGAATACTTTAGAAAATTTTGGTTATATTTTAGAGTTTGTGGGCCAATCAATAAAGACTGGTGTCTGATATACAAATGCCAGGATCTGAAGGGAAATATTAGACTTAAAAAGCACAATTCATTATACTGAACAATTCTTGAAAAAGTGACTCCACATTACAATCTAAATTTTAATCATGGACTGCCTACCCTTGCTACCTTTCAATTGTTGCTGATTGATGCAGTATTTACAGCAATTTTGCTTTTTTTTACACCACTTCATCAGTCCTTTTTCCTCCTGATTTCTGAAGAAATCATACTCTCTTATAATATTCCCTTTTCTTTGGGTTTTCCCAAAACTTTAGACTTAAAACTAAGTTAAACAGTTCCCTTTTGGGGCTGTCATTAGTTATTCCTCCTGCCTTTCCCAGTGACATGTGTTTCTCTTCCACAAAACATTCACTCACAATTTAAAAAAATGCAGCTATCGTTCAACCTGCAGTATCTATTCTAGGAATTTCTCCTACAGCAACACTGAAAATGTGTGTCCTGTAACACTATTTGCCACTTTTTTAAAATGGAAATGACTAAACATCCACCTTTGAGATGATGATTTAATCAATTATGGCACACTTATTCTACAAAGTACTATGTGGTCTTTAAAAAGGAGATAAAAACCTATATACACGGGAGTGAAACCATACATAGCTGGGGGAAAAAAATACAACAGTGCATTGCATTGAAGAATGATGTTAATGTGTATGTATGCCTAGAAAAATATCAAGCAGCATATATACCAAACTTTTAATGTTGGAGAGATACTCATGGGGTGTAGGATGGACCAGGACCGTTTTATTTCTGCATTGAATTATGTTATATCAAATTTGTATCAACGTTGAATTTTTTAAATATCACTTTTTAACCTGCACAACCTTAACAATCACCTATCCATCAGGTTAAGCCTAAACCACCTCAGAGAAAATTATTCTTTCTTCTATTACTGTTTATTTTCTTCAGCATACAATCTGTGACTATCTTGTTTGTTAAATATTTTTATCGTCTCTCCCATAGAAGGTAACAGGGCAGGGAACACGGCTGCCTTGCACTGTGTCTCACACATAGAAGGCTCTCGGTAATTATCTGTCTCTAAAAAGACTGAAGGAATGTCGTAATTTTCTGCACTTCAAGGATTAACACGTACAAGGCAAGTCAGTGGCTCTTCGGGGGATTGGTAAATGTTAATTGAATGAATGAATGAAGATATGCACTGCCTAATATACAGGGACCACGAAAATGATACACATACGTTTATAAAAAGGAATGGAGAGGGAGGCATAAACATTCTCAGGGCTTCGGTCAACTAACCGGGGAAGCTAAAACCAAAACACGGGCAAACCAGTGAGCAGGGCCCTGAAACTTGGCCGGGGTAAAGCGGCCCGGTATGTCGGAAGACCCAAGCAGCTCCAACGAACTGGGGAGAACCCCGGAGTAAGAGCCAGGGGTCCAAAAGAAAAAGGAAGGCTCTCGGAGCTATGAAGATTGCTTAAAAACTATGCTATGCTCAGAAAAGCGGGACAAAGTGACGACTAATAAGAAAAACAAACACCTGTGCAAAAAGTTGACCGCTACCTTTCCAACCACGAACTCAACTGCGCGACCAAGAAAGCTGTTGGCTTGAAACGCTGGCGTCATCTCGTAGCGCCCGAATCAGAAGAGAGAGGGGAGGCCTGGCGGGGAATAGGAGGAAGGACTGGAGGTCACATGATATACTGTGTTCCGCCTTTCCATTCCGACGAAAGAATCTATACAATCAGACTGACAAGGCCGGAGAGAAATTTCTCTGTACTAAATAAGAGTCTAAAGGGGTCTAATATAAATGCACTGTGTCTATGTCTCTGTTTCGCTTTTACTTTTTTCCATACGTGTCCTAGTTCTACGTTGCCCAAATAAAAGATGGCCGCACAGGCGCTGGATCTTACCATCGAGATGGAGGCCTAGAGGAGCCCTGCGTGGGGGCCTGTGGGCTGGGACAAACGCCCTATCAGCCGGCTTCCGTAAAGGAAGTTTGGGGCGGGGCCGGCGGTCGCGAGTTCCTGCGCTTGCGCAAAGATGGTGGAGGAAGAGAAGAACCTCCGCGTGGTTCGTTGTGGCGGCAGCGAGTTGAACTTTAGGAGAGCGGTGTTCTCTGCAGATTCCAAGTATGAGGCTACCGCGCATTGCCGGCATGCCGGCATGCCGGACTGAGGGGCGTGAGTCCTCGCGGAGGGGCGGGGGCGGGGGCGGGGAGAACTGTTGGGCGCGCCCAGATTCGCCAGCCCGCGGTGCTGGGTTGGGAAAAGGGGAGCGCGTGCGGGAGGCCCCAGGACTCCCGGGAGGGAGCCGGAGCCTGTGTGCTGTCAGAGGAGTGAGAAACCTCTCAGGCCCCTGGCACCGCCGGCTGGGGCGCGCTTCCCCCGCCACACCCCCGGACCTGCAGGTAGATTGAGGGGCCCCCGGCGCGGACCCACGTGTCTAGAATCGGCTCGGCGTTGGGGCGGCTGGGAAGTGGTTCAGGCACGCATATGTACGCTGCTGCTTCTGCAGTACCAAGAGGAAAATCCCTCTCTCCGACCGTGACATGTAATTACTGAACGTTTTAAGATTCCGACTTCTCCACACTTCCCAACCCCTGAAAAAGGTATCGTGGCAACCTTTTTGGAGCTTTGCGTGAAAACTGGTAATAGATTCTGTGAAGGATGGTAACATACTTAAGCCCTGGTCCCCTTCCTCAGGCGTCCACTGTAGCTGGAAGCTAAACTACCCTCCGGATTCGAAAGCCAGTTTATTCATCGTGTGCCCTTTGCAAGGTCCTTAATTTCTGCCTCCGTTGCCTCATCTGTAAAATGGGAATAACATTTGGTAGTCCATCTCATGGGGTTATTGTGAGGATTAAATACCTTAATACATACAGAGCAGGTAAAACAGTGTCTGGCAATTACTGGTTCTGTGTATATCACCATCAGTATTGCCCTATTGTCAGCAGCATCTCCAAGTGACACAATGTAGAAAGAGGTTATCGAATCGCTTAGTTATGGACACTTAGTAAAAATTCTTTTCTGCCTTGAAAGAGTAGAGATAGTGCCTTATGAAAGTTTATATTCCCCCACAACGTCTTATGGTGTGCATCAGATAGTTATTGAATATATGCATAGCTAAAAATTCCATAAATTGCCTTAGAGGCAAAAAAAAAAGGATCCTTGGTCTTTACAAGAAACAAGGTTTTGTTGATACTCATCTTGTAAATCAGAGGAAGAAATTGAGGCTTTAAGAGATTGCCAAAGTTCTGCCACTTTGGACTTACATCCAGTCTCTTCCTCCAGCGTACTGTTTGTACACCTTATTATATTGAGATCCATTGTATTTTGCTTGCTAAGTCCTACAATTCACTTTTGAGTATTTATCAGCGATGTATTTATAACAACCTGAGGTGACAGAAACTAAGGTAATTCCAATATTGATCCTATCTTCAAGAGCTTTCAGTCTAGTGAGGAAAGGAAAATAACCAGTAGCAGATGTTTCATACGGTGGCACTTTGGGAGCTCGTAAGAAGGGAGTACTTCACACTGGAAGGATGGACAGGGTTGATGAGCAAGTGATGTTTAGGCTGGAGAGGTGGATGGTATTTTGACTAAGGTATATGGATAGAAGGCATTCCGGTTAGGGGGCACAGTATAAGCAAGAAGACAGTGGTACAGTTAGCTTGTGGGAATGGTTTTATCTCCAGTTAAGATGTTAGAGGAGGGAGGATAACATGATTGTGTTTCCTCAAAAATACTAATCTGAAGACCAAACTATATAATATGTGATGGAGAGGTGAGAGGTGTGCAGGCTAGCATACTCAAGGTACAGTGATGGCATAGAAAAGGGAGTTGCACTGTGAGTTTGCCTTCAGCAGTAGGCTCTTGCAAAGCTAACAGGAGTTTTCCCCTTCAGTGATGTTGGGGGAAGGCATCCAGGCAAAGTGAGCAGCTTGAAATTGGGGAGGAGGGGTGTCGTGTGTAAGGTCGGTAGAGTTGCAGCAGAGGGTAAAGGAAGTGGTAGAAGAGTGTAGACCAGGACTTAGAAGGCTAATGCCAGCATCCGAGCAAGAAATGACTTTGGCTGGAACTAAGGTCAGAGAGAAAAGACAGAGTTTGGGAGTGATTTAGCAATTAGGATTGATGAGAAGATGCTGGGTTCACTTTGGGCCGGATGAGTTTTAAGTATGTGTAAAACAGCCAGGTGGGCGTAGCAGTTGTTAGGTAGAAATTGAAGACTGAAACTCGGAGATATCAAGATACTTTTATTTCTCTCTCTCTTTTTTTGTATATATAGAAGCTGATAATTAAAACCAGTTTTCTAGCAAATTAACAGGGTTATAATGAATTCACCAAGGACTTGAGTATTATCTAACAGCTGCTGCAAAGGTTGGCTGCCTTATCCAAAAGGGAATAAGATAATTTTGTATTTTACCTCATGGAGCTTATCAAAAAAGCTGGACTAGTAAATTAAACAACAGAATCATAGAATTTTAGCAGCTTTCCCATAGTCAGTAGGTCCCCTCCTCAACTGTGGCTTTTCTGTCTGGCTTTCAGGGTCTTGCCCAATCTAGCTCAACTCTGCTTTTCCAATTTTGTGTGCTTCTAATACCCATTACGCACACTTTGCTAGTTACATAGGTACATTCCTTGGCTCATGGGTACCACGTTGTTATTTCCCTGCTTTTATTTATGTTACTGTTCCTTTTCCTTCCCAGCCCTTAAATCACACATCCTTCAGAACCTCATTTAAATCCTGGTTCCTGCTTGAAAACATCCCTAATTTCTTTCTTCTCCACTTCATCACAAAGATGATTGAGCCCTGTGTGACCGGCATTGTGGTGCTTTACACGCACTCCCGTCTACATGGTATAGGTATTGTTATCCTCATTTTACAGAAGCATTTATTGAGTGTTTGCTCTGTGTGATAAGCTTGCATTTGCATGCATTGTTGCATTTAATCCTTACAATAACTCCACAAGTAGAGAACAGTGAGGTTTAGAAAGATTAAGTAAGTTCTCTAACATCATTCAGCCTGTACATGATAAAGCTGGCATTCGAACCCATCTGTGTTTGACTTCTTAAAAATGCATCCTTTTCTACCACACCATATTTCTGTTATTATCTGTAATAACATACACACTTCCCCTCAAGGAGCTCACAGTCTGGTAGGTAAGATCTCTTAACATCGTGTGGAAAGTGCTGGGATGGAGCTAAGCACACCCCCCCAACACGCACACACAGGCACGTTAGGACGGGTACTGAGCAGGAATGAGAAGATGAGGGAGGCTTCCGGTGGAAAGACCCCTGAGCTGAACCTTAAAGAAGTAGTCAGAGAGACAGCATTTGGCATAGATGGCAGAATGTGCCAAAGCATGGAATGTTTCCTCGGGGTTTGCATTCAAGTAGTTAAAGCCATCATTCTCTGCTGAGGAGCAAGGAGGGAGGAAATATTTTCCTCTGGGGAAGCATATCAGAATCGGTTAGCTGGAGGGGGAGTTTTCTTGGTGAACAGTCCCTCCTCCCCATCTACCACCGGCTCAGGGAAACACTGCCCGAAGGGCCTGTTGATGCTTATGGGGGGGGGCGGTTGTTGGAGTTGTGGACCCCTTAACATACTGTTCAAGTCAGAAAGTAGTTAACATACTGGGGTCAAACTTAGGAGTCTGGATCATGTCCTAAAGGCAGTGGGAAAGCATTGAAAGATTCTAATTTAATTGTATCTTTATTTAAGGAAGTGATAGAGTCAAGTTTATAAAGTTAGTCTGGTATGAGGGTGAAAGATGAATGGAAGGGCCACACCTGGAGACTGTAGGAAGCTCTTAAGAGTGGTCCAGGCTGGACATGGTAAGAACTGCAGCACTCACGGTAATGGAGAGAGGGGTCCAGCCAAAGGGGAGTGCTTATACCTCAGCTGCTTTGTTCATACTTTCTTGATCTTACTAAGCAGTTTCACGCAGCCACACCTCTTGGTTACAGCACTTGTGAGATGCATTCTGATTTCAGAGAGGTGAACATGTGAAAAAGCAAGTGTCTTAGAATTGATAAAATAGGATGATGAGCAACCGCAGTCAGCTTTAGAAGATTTACCCTTTAATTATTTTGTAATAATTATTTATAGGTTCATTTTATCTAATTAGTTTATAAAACCTTTGAAGATCAGGTAAGTTCTATTCAACAAAGTGGATTGGATATGGAAATTAAAGATAATTAACACCTGCGCCCTGTAGGAGCTTATGGCCTGGTAAGGGAAATGAGTATTTATTTAAACAAGAAAGTTAACATCGTTGATCTACCTTTCAGAGTTAATGAACTAAATGGTCTTAGATGCCCCATAGGACTTCAGCAACACATAGATTTGAATATACAGTTCTTAAACTATTATTGTGAAAGAAATCTCTGTTGCATGTTACAATCTTTCTGTCTTATTTTCAGGTACATCTTCTGTGTCTCTGGAGACTTTATTAAAGTTTATAGCACAGCCACAGAAGAATGTGTACACATACTGCAAGGGCACAGACATCTGGTGACTGGAATCCAGCTCAACCCCAACAACCATCTGCAGGTGGCAAACAATTTACAATTGAATATTTTAATATTGGCTTTATTTTTGTCAGGAAAATTTGAATTGAATTTGGCTGGGAAACTTTCCAGGTTATGATCAGGGAAAATATTTTGATTTTTCTGATTTAGGATATTTTTCACTTTTTTCTTTTAATTATGGAAACAGGGTCACTGCCTAGAACTGCATTGTTCATGGTGTGTAACCATTTGTTCACAGGATACTAATAGGTGTTACTTTAAAGAGGGGGTTCTTGGCTGTATAAGTTTCTGAAATTCAGAGTTTGGAACAGTTAAATGAATTTCTTGATTGTAGGTCTTCTCAGGTCCTTTATATGCATGGTAAATATCCAGAAGGGGTATATAGTCTTGGGTGTTTCTCAAACTTACTTCACCTCTGGACTCTTTGGTTTCTGGAATGCATCTTTTAAAATGTTGACTGATGAGAGGTATTGATTTTGTAGACCTAATCCTTTAGAGATGAGGCCCTTTACTGTTAATGCAGATGTCACCTAATCTTAAGGCCAGTATCTAGATAAGAAGAAGGGATTCTTTAGTAACCAGTTAATTTCAGGACAATTTTAGGACTTTGGCGTCTATTGTAGTTTGGACCTCCCCACTCCCCGCACAAAGTAGCCCTTACTTTTCAGAATTCAAGAATTAAATGGTCGTTTTAATGCTGTTCTTAAGTTTCAGCAAAGCTACTAGAGAGTTATCTCAAAAATACTCTTGCTCTAGTTTTTGATCAATTTCTTTTCTGGATTAGTTACAGCCAACTTGACAGTTACTACTTGATTTAATAAAAGATTTGCATTGCCATTCACTATTTTATCATAAAGGAAGTAGGGCATAAAGTAACACTGATCTTCCTAAAATTAAATGAGCTACTCCTGAAAAATCACAGTTAAGTAGCTTTTCTGCAGGATTCAAGCACACATTTTATCCTTGCAGTCCTCTGAGCATTTGAGAAAAAAGGTTATGTTAATGTGTACTGTTTGTTTTTTACAGCAGAAATTAAAATTGGAATTTGTGAAGTCTATATTACTAAGTTTCATAGCAAAAAAAAAAGCTACACATTGCATGAAAGATCTATTTCATGGAACTGAAAGTTAATGAAGTTAGAGGGGGACAGCGTAAATAGCAGGTCTGGCTGAGGTAAAGGGATGGGTGCCAGGGGTTCTGTGGACTCTGGAGGGTCAGTATTTGTGTTTTGACAGTGATTGTGTTTGCCGTGTTACATTTTACTGATCTGTGTTCATGATTTTTATATGTAGTAATTCTGATGTATGCTTTCTATGTAATATAATTCTTTTACTTGAATAGTTAATATTTTCTTACTCCACCATTTTTCATTTCAGTTCTCTGATTCCATGGCAGAAATCTTTAAATTGCCACTTTTGTTCTCAATTAAAGTATAGTTAATTTACAACATTATATTAGTTTCAGGTGTACAACATAGTGATTCACTATTTTTATAGTTTATACTCCATTTAAAGTTATTACAAAATAAGGGCTATAGTTCCCTGTGCTGTACTATATATCCTTGTTGTTTATTTGTTTTATACATAGTAGTTTGTATCTCTTAATCCCATACCCTTATCTTACCTCCCCTCCTTTCTCTCTCCCCACTTTTATCCACTAGTTTGTTCCCTGTATCTGTGAGTCTGTTACTATTTTGTTATATACATTTTTTAAATTTTTTAGATTCCATATGTAAGTGATAACGTGCAATATTTGTCTTTGACTTATTTCACTAAGCATAATACTCTCTAGTTCCATGCAGGTTGTTGTTGCAAATGGCAGAATTTTATTCTTTTTTTAATGACTGAATAGTATTCTATTACATATATATAACACAACTTCTTTATGCAGTCATCTGTCGATGGGCATTTAGGTTGCTTCCATGTCTTAGCTATTGTAAATAATGCTGCTGTGAACATTGGGGTGCATGTGTCTTTTCTAATTAATGTTTTCATTTTTTTCAAATATGTGCCCAGGAGTAGAATTGCTGGGTTATGTGGCAGTTCTGTCTTTAGTTTTTAGTTTTGAGGAACCTCCATACTGTTTTCCATAGTGGATGCACCAAGGTACATTCCCACCAACAATGTACAAGGGATCCCTTTTCTCCACATTCTCACCAACATTTGTTATTTGTAGACTTTTTGATGATAGCCATTCAGACAGGTGTGAGATGATACCTCATTGTGGTTTTGATTTGCATTTCTCTAATAATTGTGATGTTACACATCTTTTCATGTGCCTGTTAGCTAACTGTATGTCTTCTTTGGGAAATGTGTGTTCAGATTTCCTGCCTGTTTTTTAATTAGTTGTTTTTGGGGGGTTTTGTTTGTTTTTTTTGTTTTTTTGTTTTTTTTTGATACTGAGTTATATGACCTGTTTGTGTATTTTGGATATTAACCTGTTTTTGATCATATCATTTGCAGATCTTTTCTTCCATTCAGTTGGTTGTCTTTCTATTTTGTCTGTGTTTTCCTTTGTTGTGCAATAGCTTTTAAGTCTAATTAGGTCCCATATGTTTATTTTTGCTTTTATTTCTTTTACCTTAGGAGATAAATTTTTTTATTTTGCAAAAATGATATAAATAAATGATTTCATCTCTTTAAAGCTAATAATTGATGAACAGGCAATGCCTTCTTAGTCAGCACATAATTTGTTTGATATCTTAATATGATGTAATATCTTCTTTTTTTTAAAATCAGTTTTGTACTATTTTTACCCTTTTAGCTGTATTCCTGTTCCTTTGATGGCACAATTAAACTGTGGGACTATATAGATGGCATTTTGATAAAGGTATGTGGATTGAGCTTCCATTTTCATTATGTGAAAAAGAATGGCAGCATAATTTAGTGACACACGGCAACACAATTTAATAACAGACATTTTATTTCCTTCTGTAAGGCCTAATCTTTTAGATTGCCTTCCTAAACAAGTCATGAAATTCAGCTACCATAAAAGAAAGATAACTTTGACTATATAAAATTTTGAACTAACCAAAAAATGAGCAGTGAAACTGGAAGAAAATACTTACAAGAGATATTACCCCTAATATACAAAGAATTACCAAAACCAATAAGGAAAAATTAATAACCCAATGGAAGAAAATTGGTGTAGAGTAGGAATATAATGCACAGAAAAAAAATAACAAATGGCCAATAAACGTGAAAGGATGCTGGACCTTGTTAGTAATTAATTAAAGAAATGTAAATTTAAAAGGGTAACACAGCATTTTTCCCTGTCAGTTTAGCCAAATTGCAGACTGAAAAAAATATAGTGATGAAGTGTAGAGAAACAGATACCTTTGTATCTGTATAGTCAATGAGAATGACACTGAAAATGAATAAATACCTTTTGCTCCAGCATTCTCACCTTTAGGAATCTCTTGTGAAATATTGGCAGGTATATATAATCCTGAAAACATTGTTCATGGTAGAAAAATTGAATATAATGTTAATGTTAGTTAAAATTTGATACTCATTCAGTAGAATACTGTACAACCATTGAAAAGAAATAGATCTCTCTGTATTAATTTGAACAATACATATTCAGCAAATATGTATGGAGTGTCTCCTTAGGTCAAGTTTTCTTTTGATGTAGGCAATATAGCAGTGAGCAAAATGGATTTTAAAAAATCCCTGCCCTTTATGGAACTTATTCGGGGCAGGAGGCAGAATAAACAGTATGGTGCTCTTTATCTTTCAGACTTTCATAGTTGGACATAAACTTCATGCCCTTTTTTCTCTTGCCTGTGCTGAGGACTCTGTCTTTGTTATAATAAATAAAGAAAAGCCAGGTATAGTATAACTAATTCATTTCATTTTATACGGCATTGAGTGGCTCTTTTCATTTTAGTTTCTCAAATTTAACATTTTGGTTTTAGTTTGACATTAACAGTGTTTGGAGATGGCATTTAAATTGCTTTCACCATCATTGCATTCATTTGGGGGAGGTTTTGTGTTATTTTTGAAATATGCAATAAGGGAATGATTCTATATGGTGGTGATAATGGACTGCATGGGTCCAGTTTTAAAGCTGTTTTGAACTACAGTGTGTCTTCCTATTGAACTTAAATCTGTCATTCTTAAGCATCACTATCATTTTTTCCCATCATTGAACACCCGTTTGTTGATCTTGAATCTGTAGGAAATGGTATAGAAAACATTTGTTAGAAACAAGTAGTGTGGCTAAATTATTACTATATTTTCACTCTCACTGGAACATTATTCCATTGAAACTGTAATGTTTCAGAGCATTTTAGGAATTCCTGCGATATCTTCAGTGGTTATGAATAATTATTCTTTAGCAGTGAATTTAATACATCAGAACACTGACATGAAGGATATATCCAAAGAATTTTTCTAATCTCAGACTTCAAGAATACCACTGCACCGTTTGGTGTTCTCCATAAAATATAGTTGTATTTAGATTTCAAAGTACAAAGCAGCTTTAACCTGGTCACTAGGTGGTCAGCAAAGCTGGCTCATAGCTCATTAGCTAAATGAGTGGTGGTGGTGATTTGGAGTTTTTGTTATGAAAATAGTCAAAACTGAAAGCTAAATTTTTTTTTTCTTTTTTTTTTTTAAGCTTTAAGTTATTTGGGACCAACTCTGTTAATGCATAATATTTTATCAAAAATGTGACATGAAAGAATAAAAAGCTTTAAGTTTAGTTTTCTTATGTGGCCCATAAACCATCTTTGAGCAAAAGAGGGACGTGATCAGTAATAGAACACTGGCTTCTGTGGTGAGAAGAGACTAAAGGAGGCCAAGGGTAGAAGTGGGAAGAGCTGTTAAGAGATCACTGCTCGTAACAGGATGTGAGACATGGTCATGGCTTCACACTTGGTGGTGGTGGCAAGAGGTGGTGAAAAGTGATGGAATTCTGGGTGTCTTTTGAATATTAGAGCCAGCAGGGTTTGCGGATGGTTTGGTATGGGGCGTGAGAGAGAAGTGGGAGCACTCAAGGATTTAGTCTAAGCAGCGAGGTAGATGGTGCCATTTCCTCCAGTGGGCAACGTGGGGAAGACTAAGTTCAGAACAGAAAAGAAGGGTTAGAGTTTAGACATGTAAACTGAGCCTCTGAAAAGACTAGAAGAATTGAGTTCTGAGCATATAATACGGAGGCTGAAAAACAGAAAAAAGTGGTAGATCGGTATGTTAACAATTTTATATTCATTACGAAGTCTAGGAGGATAAGGAGACGGCATAGTGAAATACAGCTGTTTCTCCCCAAGGAGAAATGTTTTAAATGGGGTGCAAAGAGAAGAACGTGTCAATTTTACAGAAAAGGAGATTTATCCTACAAATGTGTGGCAAGCACACAGCATTTCTGAAAGCTCTCTCATGGTTTGCTGCTTTGGGCTGCTTACTTCACCAGTATGTCATATTTTATCTCCATTATAAAGCTCAGCTCAGTTCTTTGGAATGTACCAGTAAAACAAATTGTGCTTCTACATGTATAAAGAGTGTGTCTGTGTGTGTGTGTGTGTGACTTGTGGGTTTAGACTTCCATTTAAAACTTGTATATTCAAATGAGGAGTCCAACTTATTCAAGATAACCTAGAATTATTCTCTTGGCATCAGATTCTAGTATACCAGTTAATAGTTTCATATGAACAAAGGCACATCTTGACTTTCTCTAGAGAGGCTTTATATTAATATAGCTGCCTTTGGCTAGATATATTTCAGCTGGTTTCAGTGAAACTACCAAGATCATCAAGTCAGGAAATAGAAGCTAAGGAGCTCTCCATTGTTTTGGATTACATAAACCAGTCACCCAAGTGCATTGCCTTTGGAAATGAGGTAAAGTTTGTTTTGTTGGTTTTCTTTTTTATACATAAAATCTCTTTCCTGCAGTGTCTCCTTTATGTTATAGTGATTTAATATTGCCTTGAGTTACAGTATTTTTGTTAGTAACTAAGAAGGCTGTCTTATTTCTTTAACATGTATTTGTAGTATAGACTTTTTTAGGACCATCCTAATTTTGTACATTCTGTCTTAACTGCTCTTGTAAATTCTCTAATTGTCAAAAAAAAAAAACAATGTTTTAGCATTTGTACTGTATTTCTTAGCCTGTACCATGTAAAAGCCACTGAAATCAGTTTATTATAAACTTTCTTCCAAAAATATGAGCTCCATGGCTATAAATAGAATGCCTTTGTAGAAAATTTGGAAATAACAGAAAAATATAGTGAAGAAATTGTCTCACCAGTGATAATATTTGAGGAATCTTTTTCTAGACTTTTTCCTAAATATATATAAAATAACTTTTCTCAGACTGAATAATTATCTGAATAATTATGTTTTTCTTCATTTAATATTGCAGCATGAGTGTGTACTTAAATGTTCATCAAAAATAATGACTGTGTGATGTTTATACCATGATTTATTTACCCGTAGCTATTAATAATCACTATTTGTTAAACTCAAGTACCATTAAAAGCCCCCAGATAGCATTGTGGTGGCATGTTTCTTTAGTCGTTAAATTTTGTAGCATTTTTTTGGCTTTGTTCTGAAAAGGGTTTATTTCTTAAAGTGGAGAAAACTCTTTAACATTATAAACGTTATTTTTCTTTGGTGGCATAGTCATCAGTTAAATACAAATTAAAACCATAGTGGGATACCACTTCACGTCCATTAGAACAGATTAAAAAAGAGTGACAGTACTGAGTGGTGACAAGATATGGGGCAAAGCCATTCTGTTTGAATTCTGTTACAAAACAGGCAGAGAAGTAGGCTATGGTGATAGAAATCAGTAGTTGCTGGAAGGGCTGGTGGCATTGGGGAATGACTGGAAAGAGGAACCAGGGAACGTTCCAGAGGTTAAGAAAATGTTCTCAATCTTGATTGTGATGGTAGTTACATGGATAAACATATGTCAAACGTTGTATTTTATTGTATATAAATTGTGCCTTAATAGAAGTTTTTAACCATTATGCTTAAAGCCAGAGTCTAGTTTTAGGGTTTAGGACCTATGTTCATCTTTTAATTTTCTGTGATTATTTTTAAAGTAGGATTATTATTCCCATAGCCAAACTGTATTTCATTTTAACATACGCTTAATCTGCAAAAAGTTTATTGTTACTGTGGTAACTTTTGTGATGAAAATATTTCTTCTTAAAGAGTGTTGATTATTTTTGTGAATGCTGTCTTCTCTTTGAAATACCAGGGACAATATGTTGCTGCAGTACGAGACTTTTACTTGTCTGTTTATTTTTTCAAAAAGAAAACAACCTCACGGTAAGAATTCCTTTTTAAAAGCTTTTTAATTACCCAAGAGTTTGGTAAAAATTTTATTCATCCTCATACTTGTGACCCAGAGCTGTTTATATTTCATGTTACAGGTGGTTGTGAAACCACAAGATATAGAGGTAAAGTTTTTAACCAAGGATGGTTAAAATCGTCAGTCACAAAATCCTAGGGAGCTTTTTCCAGCCAAAACCCCTTGTGCACTTAGATTCTGCTGTGCAGACTTGTTGTCAAAACTGGATGTGGTTTGAAAAGGCTTCCTTTTTGTCGTTCTATAGCTATCAGAATGAACACAGACTTTGGGATACTTGGGCTTAAAATGGGTCAAATTAGTCCATTTGAACCTAAAGCTTAGCTTTAACAGGAAATTTGAACAAACTACCCATGCAGAAAGCTGCAAAAAGGACTGTTCTTTACTTCACTGTCAGTGGCCTCCATAGACAAGTTGTTACAGTAGAATGTTATTCACATGTTTATATTGTGTATTAAGAAATGTTTACAAAAGTCTTGATTCTTGATCACAATTCTTCTTAAAAATTGTGCATTTATAATCAGTGAATTCTGAGAGCTCTCCAGTTTGTGTTAAAGGTATCAACTCAAACTGGAGCGAATTAAGTAAAATTTACTTAATTACATCACACTTACCACAAACTTTAATAATCAAGGGAAAATTTTTTTCTTCTAGGTTTACTTTATCATCATCAAGAAATAAGAAACATGCTAAGAACAATTTTACATGTGTAGCATGTCACCCAAAGGAAGACTGCATAGCAACTGGTCACAAGGATGGCAAAATTCGTCTTTGGTAAGTTAACTCATGAACAGCATGGTGATCATTTATTTACTTTAAATTAGTCCTGCAGAAAAGGGGTATCTCTGGGTGCAGGGAAAAGGACAGAACTGAAAAGCAACAGTGGATAATAGATACTAGGCTTTGCTGACATCCTCCCTTCCTCTGCATTGCACAGACTTATATTTTAAGATTTCTAACCTTGGCCCTGGGAGTAAGATTCTATTTTGCCTATAATCATTTTATTGAAGAGAACTTTTTGTCAGCTTTTAAGTGAAAAAGAAAGTAACAATCGTGAATCTTGAACTAGTAGGATCCTGTGATACCCTATTTGCAGAAGTGACTGGTTTAGAAATAGATGTACTTTTTGCACATTAAGACCAGTAAGCTCGATAGTGTTCATTATATTCAGCATGCCATTATTTTCCTAATTTACACCTTTGGTCAAATTAAGAATTTTTATTTTCTCCAATAGGAGAAATTTTGATGATGAAAAGAAATACACATACACATGTTTACATTGGCACCATGATTTGGTTATGGATTTGGCTTTTTCAGTGACAGGTAAGTTCAAGTTTAATAATTAAAATGAATTTATGAAGTGTGTGAACCAAATATTTTAATTCACTGTGTTTATAGTTTGAAAGGTTTAGAATTGCATGGGCCAAATAAATTGTAAACACTCGTGTATCACCCCTGTGTCTGAGGCTTTGCTCAGCACAATACCGTAGACTTAAGGTTTCAGGGCCCTTCGGAGTATCAGAGTGTTTTTCTAGTTATTGGTCAGTAACAAACTAGATATTACTGGAAAGGAAAAATCCCTGGACCAGTGATCTCTAAATCTTTTGTCTTACAAGTATATTAAAAGATACAAAGACACTAGTTGGTGTATTTTAAAAAATGGTTCTCTAACATGATAGGAAAAATTAAAATGTCAGTTATACTTTTCTGTTTTTTTCCCCAAACACTGTCCTTTTCTTTTCTTTGGGTGGATGAGAAGGCAGCAGTCTGCTTAGTGGTGGCCGTGAGTCTGTCCTCGTTGAGTGGCGCGAGGCGACAGAGAAGAATAAGGAGTTCCTCCCCCGTTTAGGAGCTACTATTGTACATATCTCAGTGTCTCCAGCGGGGGATTTGTTCTGTACTTCACACTCCGATAACAGTAAGTCTGAATTTGTTGTCCTAAGGAAACATAATTTGTGTAATGTCATAAATTAGTTAGCATCTATTGGGGATGGAAGATAAGAGACCTCAAACTAAGAGCATAGGATGTAAGAAACATTTTTTTCTTCCATTTCTCCTTCTCTCTCCAGCCCTTTTTGTCCCTAGATGCCACCAGAGTCCAACATTTCCAGAATTGTTTTTGTGAAAGTGTAGGGCTAAGTGAATTTGGTTATTGTTGTTGACACTTACATTTAAAATCTTTTCATGTGGGATGATGGGGGAGTAAAAGAAAGGTTTTAAAGTGGGTATTTGTGTTTTTACAAATATAATGGCATTTTTTAAAGAATGCTTTGAGGCTTTCCTTTGATACGGCCATTATCTCTGTGTGGAAGTCTATGGATTCTGACAAAGACTCTTAACAGAAAAGCCTTCCTCCCCACCCCTAGTTTTTCTGTTAAATCACAAAATATATTCCTGATTTTCCAGTAACACTCCAAGAAATTGAACATGTTTGGTTGTTGTGTATTCTGGTATATTTCAGAGTGATACAAATTCACAATTTTTTTTTTTACCTTGAAAGTCTGCCTATTTATGTTTTGGCGTTTTTTGGGTTTTTTTTTTTTCCCCACAGAGATAATAATCATTCACCGGAATCTTGAGGCGTCCGCAGTAATTCAAGGCCTAGTGAAAGGTATTGTAGACCTCACTGGATTTGGAATCATGTACATTTTTTAAAGTGAATGTTTGTCTGATGTCAGCTATTACTCACTTTTTTTTGCAGACAGCAATATCTTTACTGGTTTGATGATTGATCCAAGAACTAAAGCTTTGGTTTTGAATGGAAAACCTGGCCACTTGCAGTTTTATTCTCTACAGAGTGATAAACAGCTATACAATGTAAGACTTTGATTCATTAACCAGCCTTGAAACTAATGAAAGTTCTTTACAGCACTACGGGGGTCAAATAACTTATTTAGGGGCTTCTAAAACTAGCCCCTGTGCCTCTGTCATTTGAACATAGTATTATCAGTTGTTTACAGCATAGTTCTGACGAGGCCGCAGATGCAGCTAGTCTATGTGTAAGCCAGTTGGCACTCTTGCATGGGCTCTGTCTTTCTGTCTTGTTCTGTTTCAGACTACACCCTAATTAACTGCCCCACGTATCTGTGCCTTTGTGTCACAAGGATAGAAAGGGAGAATATGTGGATTGACAGTATAAATATGTCTCTGCTTTGTGTGAAACAGTGTCATATGTGCATGCTGAAGAGAAAGTTTTCAGCGAGGCTAAGAGGAGCGCTTCCTATAATCCTAATAAATGCAATCCAGACTTCCCTCTTTTTCTTCAGTGCCCCACAGTACCCGTTATAGATTTCTATCATAGCCGCTGTAACACTTGTCTCTTTTATCTCCATCACCTTTAAACCCTTCGAAGAAAGGAAATGTATTGATCTTTGTACAATTTCTAATACAATGCCTAGAAATAGTAGGCAATTGATACATGTTTAGTGAGGAGATAAGAAATGGAAAAAAAATTATAAATAAAATGCTGGTCTACTTGCAACTTTTTTTTCACTTAAAAATTGTAGGTTTTATTTTTGCTCTTGTTTCTAGTGATATGGAATTTAGCATTGAGAATTTATTAAAGCTGTTTCTTCTTAGAAACAAGAGAAAAGCATTACTATAAGCTAAAGGTTCTGTTGTGTCATATAAATGGGTCATGGTCATTACTAAAATTCAAGAACATTGAAGGATAATCACTGAATTGGTACTGTATAATGTGCTCCAGTTTTTTAGCAGTTTCAATGTCTGTAACTCATAATTAGTTCATTTTTCATTTTTTGTAAAAATCTGTTACTATACATTCCAGAAGTTATCTGTGATGTGGTTAACATTTCTGTATTCACATTAATAAAAATTTTGAATTTTTTTTAACCCATCAGTTAGATATTATACAGCAGGAATATATCAATGACTATGGTCTGATCCAGATTGAGCTAACAAAGGCTGCATTTGGCTGCTATGGCAATTGGCTTGCAACAGTGGAACAACGTCAAGAAAAGGAAACTGAGCTTGAATTGCAGATGAAACTGTGGATGTACAATAAGAAAACACAAGGGTAATACCGCCTGTATAGCTGTTTGATTTCAGAGTAGAAAGCTACTTGACTTTCAGTTCTGTGGTTTCAATTATTGGTCTCTAGGGTGTTTCATTTTGTTAAGTTTTAAATGTAGAGAAGGAGGTGATTTCCCAGTAGCACCTTTAAGCTTTCTGCTCTGAGAAAGCATTGTTGTCCTCCAAGTTACAGTGTTTCCTTGTTGCATAAATACAAAAACGTGGGCAGGTGACACACCTCAAGAACACATAACCTAATTCTGGCAAATCCAGGATTAGAATCCAGATGCCTTAGTTCCTTTGCTCTTTTATTGATGTTACGCTACCTTCTTTGGAAAAATGGCAGTAGGTGGTGGAGGTGTGGTTGCTATAGCTTCGATTAGATAAGGAGCCCTCTGGCTTCTTATACGGTGGCTGTAATGGCCATTTATCAAGTCCTTGTGGTGTCAAGAACTAGGCTTAGTGCTTTTGTGCTCATTGTCTTATTAATCTTCTCAAGAACCCTCTGAGATAAGCCTGTTGTCACACTTTACAGGTGAGGGATCAGGCCCTCTCACAGCTCCTATAACCTGGACTTTTTAAAAGTCACGACACTGTCTTACCCTTATGTTCTTTGAAGAACACAGTGCCAGCATAGGTCATGTTTCATTCACAGGCATGCCCTGTCAAGCCAGAAACACGCTTTGAGAGGTAGTTTGGGTGACTATGAATATTAAATATAAACCGGGGCAGTTTGACATAGGTAGTTTTCTTTCTGTATCTTCTTGCCACAAGTAAAGGCTTTCACAGCCATTTCCTTTCTTGCTTATTTTCAAAATAGGTGGGTTCTGTGTTGTACACAGTTTTCCTACAGTTTAGTTCAGTAGCCTTTAAAGTATCATTTTTTTTTGATGACTCCTATTTCATACTCATTTTGGTTCCAGTAAGTTGACTGCACACATAATCATCTGTATGTTACATAAGTTAATGAGCACAGAGGTGCTTTGTTAGGACTCTTTGCATCCTATGGCCACTAGTGACAGAGCACTCAGTTGTCATTTTAGGTGATAATAAATCAGTCACCCATTCTTAAAGATGCTATTGTAAAATTTGCAATATATAAGAAGTTCTTAATACTCAGATGGCAATATATCATTTTGTCTTGGTTTTAAAATAAATTGGCGGTTTCCTTCCTACTAGGTTTGTTCTTAATACAAAGATTAACATGCCACATGAAGACCACATCACAGATCTCTGTTTCTGTAATGCAGAAAAATCTGAAAACCCCACCTTGGTGACAGCAAGTAGAGATGGTCACTTCAAAGTGTGGATATTAACAGACGATTCTGATATATACAGTAAGTTAAGTGAATATAGT